CAAAAAGATTGAAGTCATACCATGCATCTTTTCTGACCACCACACTATGAAACTAGAAATCAACCACAAGAAAAACATCTGCAAAGGACACAAATACATGGACGTTAAATAACATGCTACTAAACAATGAATGGGTCAACCAAGAAATAAGAGAGGAAATCAAAAAATATGTGGAGACAAATAAAAATGAAAACACAACAGTCCAAAATCTTTGGGATGCAATAAAAGCTATTCCAAGAGGGAAGTTTACAGCAATCCAGGCCAACCTCAAGAAGCAAGAAAAATCTCAAACAACCAAACCTTAAACCTAAAGGAGCTAGAGAAAGAAGAAACAAAACCCCAAACCAGTAGAAGGAAGGAAATAAGATCAGAGCAGAAATAAATGAAATAGAAACTAAAAAAAAAAAAAAAAAAGAGAGAAGATTGATGAAACCAGGAGCTGGTTCTTTGAAAAGATCAACAAAATTGATAAACCTGTAAACAGACTCATCAGGAAGGGAGGAAGGAAGGAAGGAAGGAAGGCCACCCAAGTAAACAAAATCAGAAATGAGAGGAGAAATAACAACTGATACCACAGAGATAGAAAAGGATTATAAGAAAATATGAAAAATTACATATCAACAAATTGGACAACCTAGAAGAAATGAATAAATTCCTAGAAACATATAACCTGCCAAAACTGAATCAGGAATAAATAGAAAATTTGAACAGACAGATTACTAGCCATGAATTGAATCAGCAATCAAAAAGCTCCCAAGAAACAAAAGTCCAGGACCAGATATCTTCACTGGTGAATTCTACCAAACATGTATTTATTTATTTATTGGGGGGGGGGTTGAGGCAGAGAGAGAGAGAGAGAGAGACAGAGAATCTTAAGCAGGCTCTACCCCCAGTACAGAGCCTGAGGCAGGGCTTGATCTCACAACCCTGAGATCATGACCTGAGCTGAAATCAAGAGTCGGACGCTTAACCTACTGAGGCACTCAGGAGCCCTTATACCAAGCATTTAAATAATTTTATTCTTTAAAGAAAATGAAAGAATTCTACTCTTCTCAAACTATTTGAAAAAACTGAAAAGAAAGGAAAGCTTCCAAAATCATTCCATGAGGCCAGTATTACCCTGATACCAAAACGAGATAAAGACACTACAGAAAAAGAGAAATACAGGCCAATATCTCTGATGAACATAGGTGCAAAAATCCTCGCAAAATATTAGCAAATTGAATCCAACAATACATTAAAAAAATCATTCATTACCATCAGGTGGGATTTATTCTCAGTATACAAGGGTGGTTCAATATTTGCAAATCAATCAGTGTGATATATCACATCAACAAGAGAAAGAATAGGGGCACCTGGTTGGCTCAGTTGGTAGAGCATGTGACTCTTGATCTCAGGATTGTAAGTTCAAGCCCTGTGTTGGGTGTAGAGATCACTTAAAAATAAAATCTAAAAAAAAAAAAAAAAAAGACAAGAGAAAGGATTAAAACAATATGACCATTTCAATAGATGCAGAAAAAGCATTTGACAAGTACAATATCCATTCCTGATAAAAATCCTTAACAAAGTAGGTTTAGAGGGAATATACCTCAACATAATAAAGGCCATTTATGAAAAACCCACAGCTAACATCATACTTAATGGTGAAAAACTGAGAGCTTTTCCCCTGAGATCAGGAATAAGAAGACAAGGATATCCACTCACCACTTTTTTTTTTTTTTAATGGGCTCCATGCCCATCCTGGAGCCCAACATGGGGCTTGAACTCACAACCCTGAGATCAAGACCTGAGTTGCAATTGAGAGTCAGATGCTTAATTGCCTGAGCCACCCAGGTGCCCCCACTCTACCTCTTTTATTCAACATTGTACCAGAAGTCCTAGCCACAGCAATGAGACAAAAAAAAAAAGTAAAAGACATCCAAATTGGTAAGGAAGAGGTAAAATTTTCACTATTTGCAGATGACATGATATTATGTATAGAAAACCCTAAAGACTCCACCAAAAAACTACTAGAACTGTAAGATCACAGGATACAAAGTCAATATACAGAAATCCGTTGCATTTCCATACACTAATAATGAAGTAGCAGAAAGAGAAATTAAGAAAACAATCCCATTTACAATTGCACCAAAATAATAAAATATCTAGGAATAAAGTTAATCAAGGAGGTAAAGGACCTATACTCTGAAAACTATAAAACACTGATGAAAGAAATTGAAGACAACACAAACAAATGAAAAGATATTGCATGCTCATGGATTGGAAGAACAAATATTATTAAAATGTCCATACTACCCAAAGCAATCTACAAATTCAGTGCAATCCTATCAAGATACTAACAGCATTGTTCACAGAACAAACAACACTAAAATTTGTAGGAACCATAAAAGATCCTGAATACCCAAGGCAATCTTGAAAAAGAAGAACAAAACTGAAGGTATCACAATCCTAGGTATCAAGATATACTACAAAGCTATAGTAATCAAAACAGTATGGTACTGGCCCAAAAAGAGACACATAGAGCAACAGAACGGAATAGAGAGCCCAGAAAAAAAACCATGATCATATGGTCAACTAATCTTTGACAAAGGAGGCAAGAATATGCAATGGGAAAAAGACAGTCTCTTCAACAACTGATGTTGGGAAAACTGCTACTTGCAAAGAATGAAACTGGGCCACATTCTTACACCATACACAAAAACAAACTCAAAATGAATAAAGACCTAAATGTGAGACCTGAAACCATAAAAATCCTAGCAGAGAGCACAGGATTTTGACATTGGCCATAGCAACATTTTTCTGGATATGTCTCCCGAGGCAAGGGAAACAAAAGCAAAAATAAACTATTGGGACTACATCAAAATAAAAAGTTTCTGCACGGTAAAGGAAACAATCAACAAAACTAAAAGACAACCCACTGAATGGGGGAAGATATTTGCAGATGACATATCCAATAAAGAGTTAGTATCCAGAATATATAAAGAACTTATACAACTCAACACCAAAAAAACCAAGTAATCCAACCCAAAAATGGGCAGAAGACATGAAGAGACATTTCTCCAAAGAAGACATTTAGATGGCCATCAGATACATGAAAAGATGCTCAACATCACTGGTCATCAGGTAAATGCAAACCAAAACAACGAGAGGGCACCTGGGTGGCTCAGTCAGTTAAGTGTCTGCTTTGGGCTCAGGTCATGATCCCAGGGTCCTGGGATCAAGTCCCACATCAGGCTCCTTGCTCAGCGGGGAGCCTGCTTCTCCCTCTGCCTGCAGCTCCCCCTGCTTGTACGTGCGTGCTCTCTCTCTCTCTCTCTGGCAAATATATAAATAAAATATTAAAATGAAATAAATTAAAAAACAAAAAACAGAACCACAAACAACACAGGAAACAACAGATGTTGGTGAGGATGCGGAGAAAGGGAAAGCCTCTTACACTGTTGGTAGGAATGCAAGCTGGGGCAGCCACTCTGGAAAACAGCATGGCGGTTCCTCAAAAAGTTAAAAATAGAACTACCCTATGATCCAATAATTCCACTACTGGGTATTTACCCAAAGAATACAGAAACACTAATTCAAAAAGATACATGCACCCCTATGATTACTGCAGCATTTTTTACAATAGCCAAATTATGGAAGCAGCCCAAATGTCCACTGACTGATGAATGGATAGAAAAGATGTGGTATATACACACATGGAATATTAGTCATAAGAAAGAATGACATCTTGCCATTTGCAATAACATGGATGGATCTAGAGGGCATAATGCTATGTGAAATAATTTTTTAGTGGACAGTGAGCTGATATCCCACAACTTAAGCAGAAAAAATATAAATAATGTCAATGTGTGGCTCTCTCCTGTACCTTCCAAGCCTTCTCTCTAATGCTGTGTTTGGACTCACCAGAATGGGCGGATTTGTCAGGAAGTTGTCCTTGGAGTTGAGATGAGGGACCTTCCTCACCTGATTCAGTTTGGGGAAAAAGGAAGGAACAGGCAGGGTCTCTTTAAATAACTGCTTCCTTCCCTGTTTTGGTAAAAATACTCTTCAGACTGAGCAATTACTAACTGCTGGCTTTTAGGGTGGTGGTTGTTTTTTAACAAAGAAATTGAAAAGCTGAACCACTCTACTTTTTGCTTCCCTGAGTGAGAGTAGGCAGAGAATGGATGGAAGAGAGTAGGAGCCTGGAACAAATGTTTATGCAGTGGGACACTTTGTTGCTAACTATGCTTCACTTGAATGACAGTAGGTGGGAGGTGGGCAGTTAGCTCCAGCTAATGGCGCACCATGGGACAGGTACTGCCTGATACAAAGACAGAGGCTGGAACAGCCACTCCAGGGGCTAATGAAACCAGTTTTATGGAAGAAGCCATCTTTGTTAAAACCCAAACCCAACCAAACGTGGAATTCTCCAACAGTAGATTCGGCACCAACCCTGCTCTTCCCAAATTTATTCAGCACAAAAGCCCCATGCACTCTCAGTCTAGAATGAACCAGAGCAAACGAACTGTCCTATGTGTGGAATGTGGATTTCCGTGATTTAGGATGATCAGCGTCTTACACAAACAGCTGACGATCTACTCAGCCCTAGGGACACTGATCCAAATCAATCCACATAGATGAGGGTCTGGTTTATACAAAAAGGAGGGGGTTGCTCAGCATTCAAAATAATTCATTGTCTACTCTAAGTTGTTTCTTTATTATTAAACCTAACTCATGGTGCATTTAAAATACAATGCAGTTCACCCTCAACTTATCAAGTGTATAGCAATTATGTAAAGTGAGGCACCCTGTAATACTGTTAGGCCCTCAGCAAGTCCCTGGGCTCCAGGGCTCTGGGCAGCCCAGCTGTCACTGCCACAAACAGGTGGTGTAAGACAATAGCTGCACTGAGCTGACTCACTTTCCAAACCCTCTAGCGGCCAAGCTTCCAGCCAGAGAGGGCTTGCAAGCAGCAGAGGCAGGCCGCCACTCGCCTCCAGTCCACACCAGCGCCCACGGCCCATGGAGCCACAGCTGCTCCTCCTGCTCCTTGGGTTCTGCTCAGGTGAGTGCTGGGGTCGCGGGGCTCTCCTGTGAGGCTGAAGCATGAGACGTCCCCGGACCAGCGTCTTGCTTCTGGGGACACACAATGGCAGGGCTTCCTCAGCCTGAGGCTCCTCTGTCAGTTTCTCACTCTTGTTGGCTTGATTCAGCTTGTGGATAAAGATTTCTAGTTTGTGTTGTCCAGTGAAAATGGGAGCTGCCTGGTCAGAGGCTACAGAGTAGACATGCAGGCCCCGCCCGCCATCAGTGCCTAGGGTCGCCTCAGCCTTCTGATCAGACTCCGCACCCCCTGCTACCATCCAGGAGCGACTTTCATCTTGGAGCAACTATAGGGACTCAGAGTGGCATCTTATAATTGCAGACAGTTTGGGTAACAAGTCCTTTTACTGCTCTGGGAGAATTCTGGTAATGAAGAGGACTGATTGACAGCTGCATGTGCTGGAGAGAGAAACCTATTAATAATTTTAACTAAACGCTTTCCATAAGAGATCAGATATTTGGTAATTTTTTTAACTTCTGCAGTTAAAAAAAAAGCTCGTATGAATGCACTTCTGCCCTACGGTTTTACTATATGTAGGTTTGGGTTGGAATTGAAACTATAAAACCTTGCACAGCCCTTGACCTGCATTCCCCTCTGGAATGTGTCACCACACAGCAGCTGAAACGCTACCCTTAATCCCAAACTTCCGGTAGAGGGAAGTAGGAGATGTTTGCTGATTGCTTCATATAAAAGTTTACTGGTGATATCATCTCACCTGAGAAACAAGACGGCTGACATTCTGTGATTTCTCTTCTCTAATATTGCTCTGACACACACACACAGACCTTCTGGGCAAAAAAAGGTAAAGAGCTTTATTATTAATGTTTTTCAAGAGCAGAGTTCAGGGAAATAGCCTAAACTCGGATAAATTACAGCCTGCGGGATTTGGACTTGATCCAACTAAAACTGGCCTTTGTTGGTGTGGTGTGTGTGTGCACGTATGTGTGTGCATGTACGTGTGCGCACGCGCCTGCAGACATTACACCCGATGAAAATTCTTTTTTTTTAAAGATTTTATTTATTTATTCATGAGAGACAGAGAGAGAGAGAGAGGCGGAGGGAGAAGCAGGCTCCCAAGGAGCAGGGAGCCCGATGTGGGACTCGATCCCAGGACCCTGGGATCATGACCTGAGCTGAAGGCAGACGCTTAACCATCTGAGGCACCCAGGCGCCCCCGATAAAAATTCTTAAGCGATATGCTTACACATAAAAATCCTTAAGGGATCTCTCTGGACACCAAAGACCGCGGGAAAATGCATGTTTACCTATCTTAAAAGGTATGTGATGTATATTTAGATCAAATCTAGAGTTTCCTGGTATCAATTCACATAGGGGCTCATAGAAATTTAGAGCTAGCTGAGGCAGTCCCACAATTTAATTTGTTATTACAGGGAAACCGAGGCTGAAAGACATGAACTGACCTGCCCAGGGTCACTTAGTTTACAAATGTTGAAATGTGATCCGTTGGAGACTGTTTATGCTGTGCCTGGTCAGAAAACCCAGCCTGAAATTGCCAGAGGTACCAAGAGATACAGCACCAGGTTGAGATAAGAATTACCCAAAGTAATTAGTAACATTTCAGAACTGGGAACAGAACCACAGAATTCTGACTTCAAGTCCTGTGTTTTCTCTCACTCTGCCCTGCTTTGGGGAGGAAAAGGAAAACAACCACAACGCCACCACCAATGAACCCAATCTGAGACATGGAGACCTCCACAGAAATTCCTTAGAAATGCATCATGGAGGGGCACCTGGGTGGCTCAGTCGTTAAGCGTCTGCCTTCGGCTCAGGTCATGATCCCGGGGTCCTGGGATCGAGCCCTGCATCAGGCTCCCTGCTCTGCGGGAGGCCTGCTTCTCCCTCTCCCACTCCCCCTGCTTGTGTTCCCTCTCTCGCTGTGTCTCTCTGTGAAATAAATAAATAAAATCTTTAAAAAAAATGCATTATGGAAGGAACAGAGTCCCTTGTTATTTGTGAGATAGAGAGGAGGAAGCGAATGTCACTGGATTTCTGACGAGGCCTGTCTCCCCGGTCTTCCCCTTCTCCCCAGTGGACCATAGAGTTGGCCTGCATAGTTTTCCTGCTTCATAATGTGGACCATCTGCTCTATCTGATGCTTTCTAGTATGTTCTTCCTGTCAAAGGGGAATAAACAGTCACTTAAAAATAAGCAGCCCAGGCAGTGCCAAAGCAATAGCTTCAAACTCAGTGGCCAAGGCACTCGGTGGCCCATGCCAGGGTCCTGCCCTCCCCCCCGCCCCACCGTGGGCCAGGAGGGGTCCAGGGTGGACAGGTGTGGAGGACAGAGGATTGCCATGTCCCAGGGGCTCAGTGGGGTGACAGCAAAAACTGGGTCTTTGGCCAACAGGCAAACTTGAAGGGCGCTGAATGCAGGTGGCAGGTGGTTTGGGCAAGATGTTATGTGTAAGCGCTGAATGGATTCTTTTGGGCTCAGAAAGTTTGGGAAACTAGAAATGAGGTAGGCGAGGTCAGAGGTTCCATGCCTAGAGTCCAGGAAGGTCATAATGCAGACATTTAGGCTATACTGAAAGCTTCAAAAATCCAAATAGAAATGATACATTTATCTTTAGGGAGGTAGTAAAGAGCACAGACCCTGGGGTCAGACTGCCTGCATTTTTAGTTCTACTTCCAACTGGCTGGGAACCATGAACACATGCCAAAACTGTCCAAATGTCAGTTTTCTCACTTGTAAACCAGGAGTAAAGACTTATCTCCTAGGATTATTGTAAGGATTCAATAAGATAATACAAATAAAGGGCCATCAGTGAAGCTCTACCAACAAAATACACATTTTTTGTGAGGATGAAAATGTTTCAACTCATTGCATAACACTGGTTATTTCAAGATGATCCAAAGTTCTGGATGTGAACTAGTGGTTGAGAGCACGGGCTGTGGGCTTGAAACCTGACTCCACCATTTATGAAACCTGGACAACTCACTCAACCTCTCTAAGGTTCAATTTCCGCCTCTATAAAGCGAGGACAAGAACAGTACCTACCCCACCCAGTTGTGAGGATTGAAAGAGTTAGTACATAGAAAGCACACAGAAGATTGTCTGCCACATAACAGTTGGATATGCTATTATTTTTATTAGTTAATAAAAATAGAAAAAGTAATTACTTTTTACTTATTTTGTTGACAAACTCAAACTGAAGTTTCAAGGAGAAAAATAATCTGTCTTAGAGGCAATAGATTAGCACTACTGGGGGAAAAAGGAAAGCATCTCACTCATTCAGTTTTTAAAGTTGTCTTGGCCAAAGGAGAAGGTATGGTGGCTTCAGCAATAACCTGCGGAAAGGAGGGATCTGGTTACGTGCATTAGGGCAAGTGGATCATGTGTCTGCTTCCTCTCCTAACCCTGAACAGGCAATCCTCAATCCACGTAAGGCTTAAGTTACAAAGTTATGAAGATCCTTCATAAGGCACTTGTTGGAATTGGGAATGCTTTTTCTCATTGGAATAATGCTAGGACAGTGGTGCAATTTCCAGGACAGTCCACGACACACTCATGGTATCTCGAGTTAGTACGAGAGCAGAGCGCAAAATGGTAAGGCTCCCTCCAAGTTCTGCCCAAGCCACAGAACCTTGGACAAGTCTTCCAGCCTCTCGGATCTCAGGTGAGAATACTGGTCTGCTTGCCTCACTGGAGGCTGGTGAGCCCCGTGTAACACTAGACACAAAAGGGCTGTGGGGTCCAAGAGTAGTAGATAATATTGCTCAGCATCCTGAAGGAAAATGTAGTAAAGATTCTCAGGAGTCACTCATGCTCCATAGTAGCCCCAAATCCAGATCAGAAAAGCACATGATTTTTACTCTATGTAACTTAACAGGGACGTGTACTCACCAGCAGTGATTTTTTTTTTTTTTTAAATTACAGGAAAATACATTCATAGAATTTGTCCTGGTAAAATACACAATACCTAAAATTGCCATTTTAAAGTGTATGATTCAGTGGCATTAAGTACATTCACAATGTTATACAACCATCACTGCTATCTAGTTCCAGAACATTTTCATCACCCCAAAAGGAAACCCCATCCCCATATACCCAGTAGCAGTTACTCCCCTTTCTCCCATCCCCTCCGTCCCTAACCACTAATCTGCTCTCTCTGCAGATTTATCTATTTTGAATATTTCACGTAAGTGGAATCCTACATTATGTGCTCCTTTGTGTCTGATTTCTTTCACTTAGCATAATATTTTCAGGGTTCACCCATGTTGTAGCATAAATCAACACTTCCTTTTTATGGGTGAATAATATTCCACTGCATGGATATGCCACATTTTGTTCATCCATCTGTCTGTTGATGGGCATTCGAGTTGTTTCCATCTTTCAGCTATTATGTATAGTGCTTCCACGAGCACTGGTGTACAAGGTTCTATGCGGGCAGTCTTTTTGGGGCTATGCCTAGGGGTGGAATCACTAGGTCATACGGTCACTCCGCATGTACCTTGTGTGCCCAACTGTCTCCCCGAGCGGCTGCACCGTTCACATTCTCACCAGCAACATATGAGGGCTCCATAATCTCACCGATATTCACTGCTTTCAATTTTGTGAATTCTCGCCATCCTAGTGGGTAGGAACCGGCATCAATTTTTGGCTGTTCACAGCATTTTGAGATCCGAGGACGGCCAACTTGAGATTTCATTACCCCATGCCAAGACCCTGAAATATGGAGATGGGTTTTTGTGTGGACTTTTCCTCTTGCGTGTGTGCATCCAGCAAACCTGATTCCAGCCAGCGGCTGTATTAAGGAATGTCATCTGTTTAGAGCACAAGTGTCACGATAATCTGGCACACCCCACTGGGAAGGGACCACACCAGCAGCTGTGACTGGAAAGAAACTTAGGACCATAAAAGCTGCATTGGGAGCCCTTGAACAAGGGGGTCTGTGTGCCTTCCATTTGCTGGTCACGCCTCAGTGACTCCTGTTAGTGTTGGTGGAGGGTGGGGAGCAGAATCTGAGCGTGTGTGTGTCATTTGCTGTCCCAGCCGGCCTCGTCCTGGGCTCCGAACATGAGACCCGCCTGGTGGCAAAGCTATTTGAAGATTACAACAGTGTGGTGCGGCCAGTGGAAGACCACCGCCAGGCTGTGGAGGTCACCGTGGGCCTGCAGCTGATCCAGCTCATCAACGTGGTGAGACAGTAGCACTCGGGACTCCCGCACCCCTCACCCTGGCCTCCCCTCCTTACCTCTGAAGATGCGGTCTTATCTTTTTTCAGGATGAAGTAAATCAGATTGTGACAACCAATGTGCGACTGAAACAGGTATGCAGCTTGATAAGTGCATTGATGTCCTTTGTATTCACCCTGGAATTGAACCTGGGCCCAGGGGGAATCAATTTGGGTAACAGGGATGCATACCAACATGATACAAGTAAATATTTTGGTGTTGTGGGATGATGGATATTTGTTGGTGTGTTGTGTTGTGTGTGTGTGTGTGTGTTTTACTTTGTGCTTTGTTAGGCTACCATAAACAAAGCCACAGACAATGAAATGTATTCTCTTGCAGTTCTTGAGGCTAAAAGTCCAAAATCAAGGTATCCACAGGACCGGCTCCTTCTGAGGGCTGTGAGGGGGACTCTGCTTCCAGGCCTTTCTTCTTTGCAAATAGTTGGCCAACATCGTGTCCCCATGGCATTCTTCTCGAATATGTTTCTGTCTTCAAATGTCCCCTTCTGGGGCACCTCGGTGGCTCAGTCGGTTGGGCGGCTGCCTTCAGCTCGGGTCATGGTCCCATGGTTCTGGGATTGAGCCCCACATTGGGCTCCATGCTCAGCAGGAAGCCTGCTTCTCCCCTGCCTGCCATTCCCCCTGCTTGTGCTTGCTCTGTGTCAAATGAATAAAATCTTAAAAAAAAAATGTCCCCTTCTTTAAGGACACAACTCCTCTTGGGTTAGGGCCTACCTCAGTGACCTAATTTTAACCTAATTACCTCTATAAAGACCCTGTCTCCAACTAAAGTTATATATATTCTGAGGTACTGAGGATTAGGACTTCAACATATGAGTTTTGGGGAGACACAGTTCAATTCATAACATTGTGTCATCTGAATAGGCTATGCTGGGCATGTATTACTTTTATAATGTAGGAAAAAATATAATACTTTTAAAAGATGATGTTGTCTGCTTGAGGGAAATGTCCACAATAGGGTCATTCTCTTTTCCTGGGGTGAGCAGTGTGGCATGGTAGATGTGCCACCACCCAGTGGCGTGACTTGGGGTATCTTTGTTTCCTCATCTGTAAAATGGGGTCAATAATCACTCTTCCTTCATAGGATAACTGTGAAGACTAAATCATGGATTTATGTAAAATGCTCAGAATGGTGCGTGCATGGAGTCGGTACTATAGAAGTGTTTGCTTTTATAGTTTACTAAAGTGAAACATGAATTCTGAATCAAATCTTTTTTACTGGAGCACAATTTCTACCAATATCCAAACTATCATATACCATCAGAACTCTTGATAACTTTAGATATTTGTAAAGATTTTATTTCTTTATCTTAGATAGAGACAGAGAGCAGGGAGGAGGGGCAGAGCAAGAAGGAGAAAGAGTCTCAAGCAGACTCTGTGCTGACTCAGAGCTCAATCCCATGACCCTGAGATCATGACCTGAACCAAAATCAAAAGTTGGCTGCTTAACCGACTTAGCTGCCCAGATGCCGCTTGATAAACTCAGATTTTTTTTTTAAAATGTTTTTAGCTCTTTTTATTAGTGAAATGTCTTCATTTCTAGCAATGGGTGGATTACAACCTAAAATGGAATCCAGAGGAGTATGGCGGCGTGAAAAAAATCCACATTCCCTCAGAAAAGATCTGGCGCCCAGACCTCGTTCTCTATAACAAGTAAGCAAAACAGACAGGCTGGGGAAGGGGACATTCCTGGGGCAGGTGGAGCCCAAGTGCCCTATCCGAAGGGCTGCCACTCTCAGTATGCTTCTCACCACTGTTCACATTAAATAACCCTTAAAAACCAAGAGCCAAGTTGACATGCTAGGGGTGCCATATGGTGTCTCATGTTATGAATAGAAACAATTATCAGAGCCAAATTGAATCGGGGCTGTGGGGTGGGGGATATTTAATCCCTGAGAGCTCCTGAAGGGTGCGTGGCAACTATCCAAGGAACCCAAATTCATATAATTGAGTTCCTTGGAATTAAACGCCCTTCCTACCAATAGGTCTGAACCTCCTGGGGTGGTTATCCATCACATCCTCACGGCATCCTGAGACATCGCGTGCTGCCGATGGCCGGGGAGGCCTGCGTCGCCCATCCGCTGGGCTCCGTGACAGACTGCATGTTGTGAAATTATAATGTGATGCAAGACACTCTGGTCTAATGACAGGTTCATTATCATACGCCCTTCATTTGTCAGAGAATGTTCATTTCAAGGAGCATCCTTCCCGGGTGGAAGCATCCGCCATCGGATGTGCAGTCTGACAGTCTACACACAGCGCGTGTCTATGCAAGCGGGCTGTGCCTTCTCGCACAATGACCAGGGAGGGCAGCAAGGGCTTGTGAATGGAAAGGACACCCTTTACGGCCGCCTGTCCTACTTTGATTTTCTACTACATATTTCCCAGTGATACCTGAGACTCAAGCTTGAGCCCGATTAGCCAATCGTTCGTGTAAACTTTTCGGACAAATATGCTGATAGAGCAGAGTGTCTGGTGTTAGTAAGTTTCTCTTTCAGTAAGAATCTAAGAGAAGCAATTAAAGTCCTCAGGTCCTCTTGACAAGCGCGCCCGGGAACACCCTGGTGGGGAGAGAACCCAGTTTTACTAGCTTACAGAGACAGATGTAGATGATCCTGTGGCCCTCTGCTCTTTGGAGCTCTTTTGGGAAGGTCCAGAACCGCACAGTTTTCTGGAGAGTGCCTCAACTCCACCCCAGGGAAAAACCAGTGATTTATGAAGTGAGGCACCAATATACGCCATAGGTCCCTGAAAGTCCCCCAGGGCAGACCCCACCCACCTCTTCTAATGCCTTTGGCCGAGGCCCCAACTCACAGGCTGTTTGGGGTCAAGTGGACTCCCCACTGAATAAGGCCCGCAGAAGTGGCCTGTTATTTTTTTATTATCTACCATGGTGGATTATTTATTTGTTATTTTTTAAAAAGATTTTACTCATTTATTGGAGAGAGTGAGAGAGAGAGCACAAGCGGGGCAGGGAGGGGCAGAGGGAGAAGTTGACTCCCCGCCGAGCAGGGAGCCTGACTTGGGGCTTGATCCCACGACCCTGGGATCATGACCTGAGCTGAAGGCAGATGCTTAACCGACTG